TTGAGAAGATGATGGTGTTTCTTTCAGCATGCTGGGAGTAAATGAGTAAATCTACTTTTTTTAGTACGCTTGAAACTAAAATGTGAAAAGGGCCTTTTGTTTTTGGATGCAGATTCAGGAGCGTGATAAACTTTACTGCTTGGTAGCCTGGGAACTTGATTTTGTCTTGCTTAAAGTGCAACTTTTTTTTTACCTCTCTTCCCCCCCCACCCCCCCGCCTCCCCTTCCACCCTGATAATATGATGAGCCCTTGGGAAATAAACGGGAACTGCCTGTTATGTGTCCTCTATGTCACAAAATTTCTGTAGTTTCTAGACTTATTTTGTTCGTTAAATGAGAATTATTTTACTGTTCTGCTGGTGAGGGAAGAGGGAGGATTTTTGTAACCTTGTTTATGAGTTTGTGCTGCCTTTTTAGAAAGACACTGTTCCTTGTCCTTTTCCCTAAGATACCTGGACAGCACTTTAATGCCATCACTAAAATTCAAGGGTAACATGAAGTGTAAGCTTTGACCTTAAACGCTCTATTGCCTTTGGTTTAAAAAAAGAATCCTGGGATCTGTCAAAACCCTGTAGGGCCCAAAAGAGGCAACTCTTATTGCAAGTTACTAATAAAAGATGTACCTACTAAGAAACTTGTTTTTACCATTGTATATTTTGTCTTGTATCTTATATTCTTGCCTAGCAGTTTAGAAAAAAAATGCATACTTATTTCTGACTGTTCCATATGATGATATTCCTCTATAGTACTGAGATAGTAGTTTCAAGGTTTTGAAGCAGTGTTCCACTCAAACTTTTTAAAAAAACCCAAAACATTGTATTGGATAAAATGTGTAAGAAAGTCAGGAAGCTGTTGTCTTGAGTTTTGTTTTATAAAGTAGAGTGCGGCAGGGTTTAAAGGTGTGGCAGTCCTTTTCCATCCAGTGGAGCAGTTCAATTAGTTTGAGTTTGTAACACAGATGTAATCTGGTGAATAGAGAGTTGAGCAGATTGTTAATAAATTGCATTGTAATTTTGGTTGTTCCCACTGTTTTGTCTGAGATCAGAAGGTTTGTTGCATCCTTCCAGATAGCTGGACCAACTCACCGCCCACTGGGACCAAATGGTCAAACTGGCAGAAAGGGCATTAGCCAGCCATTAGAGCTGATTGAAGCCACACTGGTAGTCGCGAGCAAATGATAGAGACTGTTAGGAGATAAACAGTAAATGGAAGGTTATAAAATGCCACCCAGCTAGTGAGGAGCAGTGGGAGTATGTTCAAGGGCTGATAGACGTAATGCAGTACTGTAGGTTTGCCGGAGGGAATTGCTCATCTTCCTGGCCCTGTGCTTGCAGCTCCTCCACAGCTCCTCCCTGCACTGGCTGTATCACTGGGGGAGCAGTAACTCATGTAGGAAGGTATCTGAGTGCTTAGCAAGGTTTGTGGCTACTGTTGCACAGTCATGAGGGCTTTTCATGTTGAGGGCTGGTAATATGAATAGGTATTTGGTCTCTGCTCATGTTTATCTTTGTCAACAATATCTGGAACATTGGATAGAGAATTTTATTTCGATCAGTTATTTTCTTATGCCCAGTTTCTCTAGGTATGAACATCTGCTCTTAAGATAATCAACAGATTAAGTTGCTGTATTTATAGTTAAAATATTACAGAGATGTAGTTTTCATCTCTGTAAATGTCATTGGTGAGATTGGCAGAAAAGGTTGGAAGTCACAAAATTAAATATGTTTGGTTGTTATCTGACTGAGATGAGGGCACTGTACAACAGTTTGGTACTGTACTGCAGAACTGGGGCAAGAGTCATTTAGGTGATACCTGTCTTGTCTTTTCTTGGAGCTGCCTTTTTGAACAGAGATGGTGCTTGAATCTCTGAAGGGACATGCTATTTTGTGTTCCTGCAGAAAAATATAGAAGCATGAATGCTGATACTAACTTTTCCAGCTTTTTTTTTTTTGTGTGTGTGTGTGTGTGTGTTGCATAAGATACCAGAAAATAGAATTTTGTTGTTGTGTTAAATTCAAGGGGTGTTGGGCAACAACAAAGCTTTTGATCTATCTTTGGTAAATAGGAAACTGGTTACAGAATATAAATATTTATCTTAGATGATGTTATAAGAAGTACATTTCTTTCTCTCATGTAACTGATAAGGACAAACTCAAGTTAGTCATCGAGATGCACATAATTTCTACGATGCTTCTTGTCCTGTGTTAAGCTGTTCATTTTGGGGATCAATGGCAGTGTAACAGTTGTCTAATTTTTCCACAAACTACATGACTGACATAATGTTGGAAAGCAGCTTGAGGGAGTACTAGCACACAGGATTAAAGCCTTCACTGCTCTGCTGCTGGAGGCAGTCAAAGAAACAGATTTACCCTTCCTGTGCTCTTAGATCTCTTTGATATTTGTCAGTAGACAGTGACTGGCTACCTCTAAAGTAATTGCATTTTAAGAATATTGGTGCTGGATGGAGAGCTCCCCCCCTCTTCTTCTGGTATGGTTTTTATTTCTCAAGAGCCTTCTGAGGTGGGGAGCCCTGAATGAGGGTGGTGGTCTTGGGAGAAGGATTGCCTTGTAATGGGGATGGGCCAGGGGAGTGCTGGAGGAGAAGTCTCATGGTTGCTTGTCCTGTTCTTACTCTGCATCTCCACTCATTTGGGCTGTTCTCTGGTGTGTGCCCTCGACCACATCAGCTGCTGCCATGGTATGGGAGGCTTCCTCATTGCTTCTTGCTTGGTGTCTTGCATGAAGCTGGCCCTGTGGAGCCAGGTGGGCCCTGCATACTGGTTCCACTATTGGCCCAAGAAGCATTCAGGAGCATATGTGGTTTTCCTTTGCATCGGAGCCACTGTCCTCTTCTCCATGTTTTTACAAAAGCTTTACTTAAAAGCAAAATTCAGCTGACACTTAAAACTGCTGAAATTATTTGTTATCAGCTGCCATTCTGACTTTTAGGACACTGAACTGCACCAATTTACCTAAAGGGAATGCTGTGTACTTGCTGCTGCAGTGATTCCAGTCTGGATCTCCCTGCAGCTGAGTTCATGGGCATGGTCATGTCTGTCCTTTTTTAATTATTTTTAAATGGTTGTATGTCTGCATGTAGTGACTAAAATCTCTACAGGTGACAGTTCTTTGTGTCTTCGTCTCAGCAGCCACACATGGCAAATGCAAACAGATAAAAAAGGAAGCTCAGGTGATAGGAAGAGGCAGCTTTCCATAGCCTTGCTGATCCACACTGACCTCTAGAGCGGACTTGTTTTTGGAGGGGTTGATCAGGGAAGCTGCTGTGCTGCCACTGCAAAAATGAGTTGTAATAGTCAATACCAGGTACGTTTTTTTTGCCCACAGGTGGGTATAAACAGATTCTTTCTTAGGGGCGTAAAGTTGTGATCTCCCCTTCAGCACACAGTTGGTTGAGTGTGGAAAAAATATTGTGGGACAGCAAGTACTAGTTAGTATCTTGGTTTTGGCAAGATGTGATATTTGTATTTGAGGCTGGTGTGTGCCAGTCCAGGGCCTGCTGATGGCAGTGGTAAAACTGTTCACATAATGGGCTTTAGATTACTCTTAGGTAGCTTATTGTACCCACGTCTCCTGCAGAAGGTGATGTATCTATCCTTCCTCTGTGGTTACTTCTTCATCCAGATGTGTTACACCTGGTTGACTAGTGTGCCTTAAAGGAGATCACGTTGGTGAGGGCACTAATTGCCACATAGGCAGGAAGGGGAAGCTGTTGCTTTGTGGTAGCTTCTGTTTGGCTGGAGTCTTGCTGACCCTGGCTGTGTGTCACAGTTGTTTTTTATTAAAGCCAGATTGAAGCAGCATCTTTGGCAGAAGGTTGTTCAGAGGTGAAGCATTTTTACTGTGTTGTTAGTGATGATGGTGTAGGGATTTGCATAAACTAAGAAGTGCAGTCTGTGCAGGTGCTGGTGTTGATCTGGTAAGCATTGTGTGGTCACCATCACTTTCTGTGAGCAGTGGAGGCTGAGGTGCAGGGCAGTGCTTCCTTCAGCAAAGCTACTCATGACATCTCTGAAGGGAATAGATGAACACTTCCTGTAAATACACGTACTGGAAACATCTGCCCGGCACATTGAATTAAAGGATTTTTCTTGATGTGCCATCTGACCCCGTATGCTGAGGAACTCCAGTACTTTGTTTTCCTCGTGACTTCCCCCAGCTTTTTCTTAAGCTGTCTTCTTGGCGCACTCTTTCGAAGCCAAAGCTGTGAGGATGCACTAGACCTCGTTTCCCGCATCTGTCCCAGCAGCTGTACCACTTCCTGCCATGAATCATCCAAAACACACTCTTTTTATTGTTTCACTTAAGGGTGATGGCACATTTGTTTTTCTGAAGCCACAAACTAATCTCAGCAGTCTGGCAGCCAAGCCTTAAATGAAGGCTTGGGTGCGATAGCCTTCAGAGGAAGTACCTTCCATCAGTGGTGATCTCCAAGCAGAGCTCCTTTCCTTGTGGGCTTTAGCTGTGGTCAGAGGAACTGCAAACTTCATCACTTCTTGGAGAGCTGCAGCAAAATGTCTCCTTCTGCTTCAGTGTCAAGCATGCCATGACCTCCTGTTTTCAGTTCATCAATACAGCTAACCAGTGCTAATTGTCAAACGATGTTAAGGGAGGGGGGCATCATCTTTTGTCTGAGAAATCTTGGCTATGTTCTGAATCCTTTCTGGGGCTGATGTTTGCAGCTTTGTTTTCCAGGGCTCATTGATTGCATGTATTTCAATTCTACCAGTCCAAAAAGAGGCATTTCTTTGTCCTCAGAAGCTGAGAATATATAGTTCCTGAAATTTGAGAGCTTATTGTATTTCACAGGGAGATGAAATCCAAAATACACCCCTCAATTTTGTCTTCAAAAAAAAAAAAAAGCACCAAAGAAACCCACCTCGCAAAAAACCCTGAACAAACAAAATGACCTAAAAGCACATTAACTACAAAGTTCTTAAGCCTTTTGTTTGTTTGTTTTGTTTCCTTTTTAATTTTTCTAGGGAAACGTCAAATTCACCACTTGGGAAACCAGCTTCAACTCAATCAACATTGTCTGGATACAGCTTTTAATTTTTTCAAGATGGCTGTGAGCAAACACTTAACCCGGGGGAGAAAGATGACCCATGTAATTGCTGCATGCCTCTACCTGGTGTGTAGGACAGAAGGAACTCCTCGTATCCTTTCACATTTAAAAATTAAAACTAAATTTGAAACAGACATACTTTTAGCAAGTCAACTCTCCCAGTTAAACCTGGTTTCAAAATTTGAAAAGGTAAGTGATTAGGAGGGAACTTTTTTACTGTTGGTTTTATATAATTAATTGAATACGAGTTCAAGTAAAAATTGTCCCTTTCTAAATGTACAATATTGATATTTACAGGGAGCTATAAATGTCACTCTGCTTCCCATCAATAATTCTAAAGTTCTTTTTTCTCAACATTTTTTTTCTAGTATAAAATTGTACTTTTCCTGTATTTTGCTTGGGCTTACTTGTTTGTGGTGTAAATTTATTTTGTTTTTTCTTTTTTAAAACAAATGAATATTAACCCCAAGCCTCCTGCAGCGTCAGTGTTAAAGAACAGGTTGAAGTTCCAGTAGGTTTTCCATCAAGATACTTGGATTTCCTTCTTTTAATGTTTATGGGAAGGTCAGTATCACTCCCATTTTAGTTTCAGGGGGAAAGGCATTTGATAAATTCTGAAGTTTGCGCAGAGATCATTAAGGAAATCAGTGGCTGGAGGTGGGATTGCACACAAGCCAGATTTGCAAGTGAGCACTTCTTGCTCTACGCCATCCCTAATTTTGTCTTGTAGAACTTACTTTAAATTATTTAAAGTATTTTTAAGTATTTAAAGCTTACATGGATTGTAATGACCATGCAAATTTATTTGTTTTATGTATTTATATTTCTTTTATGTTGTGTTTCAGTTGCTGGAATTTAGAGTTTGTTATCAAATAATTACTTCTGTGTTATTTTAGTTCTTTTCTACTTTAAAGCAGCATGTGCATATCATCAGTATTCTGTTTGATTTGTTGCTTTTTCTTGATTGCTCTTCTCACTCTGTTTTAGCAGTTGAACAGCTTAGCTTTTCTTTTAAGATTGAAATTAAATTGGTGGGGGGGTTTTGTTGTGTTTTTGTGTGGTGTTTTCTTTTTTTTTTTTGTTTTTTTTTTTGTTTTTTTTTTTTTCCTCCCCCAGAAACTACACTCAGTATTCTAAAATTAGTGCTTTCTGATAGTGTTGTGGTCATTGCATTTGCATGGTAAAAAAGATGTTTTTGCAGGAATAATGGAATTAAAAGGAAGGCTTGCCTATTACACTGGTCTTTTCTAATGTAAAGTCTCTGTGTCAGCTTTGAACAGTAGAACTCTATCATTGCCATAAATACAGTGTTGATTTAAAAGCATTACCGATACTTTTTTTTAATACCCCTGTCACAGTTTAAAAGTAATTTATTTACAGTTGTTATTCGATACTGCTGAATGATAGCCTAGCCATAATATGGAAATCCATGTTTCCCCACTGGTAGTGATGATAAAACATTCGAAGCAGTATCAGCTGTAAGAGGCAATCAGGTACATTGCAGTGTAGCAGCCATCAGTACGCAAAGGGGGCTAAACTTTTCTAGCAAACAAATGAAAAGTCTTTAACTTGTTCTCTATCCTTCTTTAAAATTCTTCAGCGTGTATCTCAGCTGTGTGCAAGATATACTGGTCTGGTTGACACTTCATACATACCTAAATTAATTTCCCAACTTCTTTTGTTAAATGGAGATAATATCACATGTGATACTTTACTCCTGTTATTTCATGTGGAGTATGAGTTAGACTGCAGTGATGTGCTCTTGTCTTTCTGTATCTGTATCACAAAGTACTCCAGCTTCATTTGCACTGTTACTGTGCTGCCTGGGAATCAAGAGGTAGTAATGTATGACTGTGTCTCAATTTTGTTAGTGTTGATTTTTATTTTTTTGTTTTAATCCATTAGATAAGAATTTAACTGTGTTACTTTCGGAGAGTGAGTTCAGCTGCTTTGTGTGTTCTGCTGCTTGGTGGTTTATTTTTTGTTTTGGTAGTGTGGTTTTGATTTTTTTTCCTTGTTTTGTTTGGTTTGGGTTTTCTTAACATTTAAAATCTAGTGTAGTTTGAAGAACAAACCCCAAATCCATTATGGATTCTAAACATTGAAATGTAGGTTCCTTTTCCGGAATCTTATCTGCTCATTAGAAATTTGTGAACCTGGGAGCAACAGGTGCATATTGCTGACCTTTGAAATCAAAATATGTTCAAGCTTCCATAGATTATGATGATCATTGTTGGCATGTTATATTTGTTTCCAGCCTAGAGCTGGCAATATAGAACTGTGCTTCAGGAGGCAGAGATGTTCCCAGGGCCCTTGGTCCAGAGCATGTGTAGAGGATTCCCATGTGACAAGATGCTTTAGCAAGAATTGAGATGCATGTTCAGGGTGATAAGCTTGCCATTGGTTTTGGTCTTCTGGAGAAGCCGGCAGAGAATGGCAGGTAAAGAGGAGAAAATATGCTGTATAATGTACTGTATGAAAGACATACAGTATTTGTAACACTCCAAGATTTATATACACTGCTTAAGTAGATTTACTGAGTTCAAAGTGTTTATTGTCATTACGTTGGTTATAGAACTCTTTCGTGAAGAAATTTGAGAGAAAGACAGCATCTTGGTTTTACGTGGGCCAAACGAATAGTGGAGTGACTTAGGAGCTGTAGAGGCCGCACACATTACCTGGGAGTAGGTTAGTCTCTGAAGTAGAATTTGTTTCGTAAAGAATACGGTAGAAGGAGCGAAGTATGTATGTGGCTTGTGGAGGTGCAGTGGAATGTAATCAGGGGCTGAAGTCGCAAGAAATGTTGTTTTCTCTCCAGTGAGAGAACCAAAGGAGTGGGAAGCGTTTGGAGAGGGAAAACAGGATTTAATTGTCTGCAAGTTCAGTTTGAGGGAGTGGAATGTATTTATCTGACATGGATATCTGCTTATTCTTCTTTTTTTTTTTTTTTCTTCCCCATAATGTACATGTCGCCAGCCAGCCTCTGTGAAAACGTGAGGAAAACTGTAGCCAAGTCTACTGGTGCAGTCTGAATTATTCCTGACTAAACCTCAGCCTGAAGTAGGAAAACATTAAGTTCTCCTTATATGTTGTTTAATTAATGCAAAAACGCAAAGTATTCCAGTAACACACATTTTTTAATCTGGGGAAAAAAAAGTTCTGGAACTTTAAAGAGAACATAAAAGTTTATTGTCTAAAGTACAAGCTTTTATTTATAGTTCTTTAGAAAGTTTAATATATTATTTGAGAACTGAATTGACTTTACATCAGATTATGGTTTTTATTAGCTTATTTGACACAAAACCCTACAATGCACTAACTTTGACATAACTTTTCATTTGCCTTGCTTATATTGCTCCTAAGTGTTAATGTTTCAAAGGGAAGATGGCTTACTAGCTATTAGCTAAATTTGGGAGGTGTTTCATCCTTTTAATGAGCTAGTTATAAAAACTTTAATATATTATTCTCTTTATAAAATGTGTCTATATTATCACCGTCAGAAGTAAAGGTATAATGCTAAAAATACATCTGAAGAAAATGGTGATTTTTAAATCCTCAGGTTTGTTGGAACTTGTTGTCCCCCTCCCAGAGGCTGAGCAATGGTGAATGTTGCCAGTGACATCTGACTTAAGCTGGCACTGCCAGCGCTCCGGGCATTTTAGACTCTGGCTTTTAATTTGTTTCTTGGAATAGTAACAGTCCTCAGTTGTTTCTCTTTAGTGTTTTGAACAGCTTTTCCACCCCTACATATGTTTGAATGGAAACAAAGGGCTCTTTAGCTGGTCCTGCCGTTCCTGAGAGTGAGAACTTGGGAAGAGCTGGGCAGGGTGTTTGAGTGACTTACAGGCTTGGCTGTAGCCCGTGGCTGCCCTAAGGTCATTCAGGAACAATTTGAGCCTGGCTGGGATTTTCCAGGTGGGATATCAGTTTGTTTTAATTAAAGAACATTTCATTCTGATTGTAGTTCTTTTTGCTGTATACAAGTGTTAAAAAAACTGTACAGCTCTCCACTATTTTGTTTGCAATATTTTCCAATGCTACCACCTGGGGGTTTTTAATGGCAGCATTTTCCATGGCAAATGTCTCTTATCCCACATGCACACACCTTTTTTATTTTATTTATTTATTCTTTTCCTTTGAAGCTTTCTGGAAAATGCACCCTTAGTTGTAAACCAAGTCTCTGTCTTGTAAGAGCATAGTAAATAAAACCTTTTCTACATGAGAAGAGTCCTTGCAAAGTTCCCTCTGCGTAAATATCCCTCTGTTTGCCTGTGGAGATAAATTCAGGGCAGGTTTTTCCCCTTCAAGTATTGCTGATCAGTCTCTGTGCCAGAAAGCTCACAGAGTCCTTCCCACCATGCAGGGATGGGGCAGCCTCCTGAGATTGGGGATGCCCAAGTTATTCAGGTGATCTTCAGTGGCTTTGTGTGTAGCTAGAGGAAAGAGATGGGGCCTCCTTGGGTCAATCCAGGGCAGCTGAGTTGAGGTTTCTCATCTCAGTTGTTTGCAGAAGAACCTTTCTGCTAAATGTCTAAGAGAACCTCTTAAATTTGAGTGTTGGGAGCAGTGATAGGAGAAAGTTTGGTGTCTTTTACATGTAAACTGGCACTGGGTGGGAAGGCATAAGGCACTTTTCCTCCCCTGCTTCCCCTGCCCTGTGAACCTCCCTTTTGTTTGAGGGAAGATCACGAAGGCATTACAGAATCCCAGCAGGCAAGAAGGATTTGAAAAAAAAAAAAAATTTAGCATCTCCTCACTGAACGGGACAATACTTTGTTATTTCCTATTTGTCTGCAGTACTTGTATTTTATTGCCAAGCTATTTGAATGCCTTCTGGTTTAATGTGTTTATTTTCATGTCACAGTAAGGGAAGTTGAGAGTATTTATCTTCATTTCAAGGTGCAGAACTGAAGCTAAGTTTGACACATTCAAAGTTACCCAGAAAATCTGTGATGGACTCAGGAACTGGTCTCTTTAATCCTAGATCAGGCAGCAGCTACTGAGCCTTTTTGCCTTGCTGGTCTTTGCAAGAGAAGTTCAGCTAATTTCCTCTTGCGCATTAACAGGCTCGGTCGGTTTCCATACTGTCTTGGGAAGCTTTGTATAACCATGCCGTTGAGTGCCTTTGATGGGTACATTCTTTGTTTCCCTTCTAACACTTCAAAGTCTATCTCTGCAAGGAAAAGGGCAAGACTTCCTTTTTTATTAGAAATGAAAAATTAGATCTCCAGCAATCTTCTGACCTCCACTAAAACTTCCTGGAGCCAGCAAGCCCTAGTGTTCCCAACTAAAAAGTTAACTTTTGAAATTACGCTTAAATCAACAAAATTTTAGAGCTCTAGTTAGAGAGGTTAATAAAACCAGTTTCTATTTCTCTTTGGTTAAGGACTTTCTTTATAGTTACTGACCTTTTGCTTAAATA